ATTTAGCGACTTATCCATCATCATGCTTTCTCTGATTCCTTCACTGTCTATATACACAAGAACCAAGATTTTGTGGAATGAAAAGCTTCTTCACACTCACATACTCATTAATACACACACAGGCTAAGGATCGCTGTCTCAAAGATTACCAAATATGAGTGGACAGTGATTTTTTTAATGAGATCTTAAGGAAGTAAGAAGAAGAAGAAGAAGAAGAAGAAGAAGAAGAAGAAGAAGAAGAAAATATATACATATATATACACTAAAAAGCATATCCAAAGATGGAAGCACTTTATAAAACTCACCAGAGGTTTAATTTTTATCATATGAGGAAAGATCTATACACCCTTAAGCCATTTCTCTTTCCAAGATCCCTTCTGTCATGAGTCAGCATTTTGGGGGTAAGGATAAAAAGTCCTTATAACCAATCTGCTCTCACATGCTTTAATACTGTGAGAAGATGACCATGAAATATGGACAAGAAAGTACCAAAGTCTTGGGACAGATCAAGAGTTTAACATGATCATCAAACAACTTACACATATTGAGATCTGCACAGTTACTATTGTGTTATATGATAAATGTCTGTAATTTGTGTGACTTTCCACAGCCAAAATAAATATTTCTGGAGTTATCTCTTCCAGGGTAAGGGAAGACAGAGAAAAAAAAGTAACAAGTTGTTCTGATCCATCAGAAGACACCTGATTGATATCAAACCCAGGGAACCTGCCAGGTTCCCTTTTATTCCTCGCAGGGCTAGTCACCTGGTAAGAGGCTGCCAACTGCAAATATGAGTGTGTGCTTGCTGGGTGTCTTCTGTTTATTCTCTCAACCCACTTTCTACCATTCCCCACCTTCTTCTCTGCCTCTGGAAGGGAGCTTTCTAGACTGCACCAACAGGCTACTTTGTCCTCTGGCTTCTTCTTAGATTCAGTCAGTGGGAGGTACCCACAAGGCAACTTAGAAGGCAGAAGGGGAGTGAGGTAATAGTATGTATTTTCCTGGTTCCTCTGTAGCCAGATCTCGGTACCTTAGCTGTGTTCCTCTACCAAACATAGCTACAAACACCTACTCTGAGTTAGAGTTTTGACAATGGCTCTATCACTTGGCTCCCTTTCGCCTAAGATTGGGACCATTTCTCAGGGTTCCTAGCCCATACTTTCATAGTTCATTAAACTCTCCTCAATCAGCCAGTCTGAGATGCCATCTGTTTCCTGTCAGAACCTGACTGATAAGAGGTTTACTTAGGCTTTAGCAACAGGTAACGGGTGTGGACAAATACATACATGATGGGAGTAAGATAAACAGCTGAAATGGATAGCATGACCAGGGCTCCAGAGGCTGCATCCCTTGCCTCTAGACCACTACACAGCAAATAGAAGAAGGGTTTCAAAGGTCAACACCATACAGGTCAACATTTACTTCAAATGCTCCCTCCCCAAAACCACAATAACATCAATCCATTTGTTTTCATATGACTAAGCAAACCATCTTTAGATGGTTCCACTATCTTTAGATAGTGGAACCTAATTAATGACTCGTTTTTTTATTTTTTGAGACAGGGTCTCGCTCTGTCACCCAGCATGGAGTACAGTGGCATGATCTCAGCTCATTGCAACCTCTGTCTCCCAGGCTCAAGCAATCTTCCTACCTTAGCCTCCTGATTAGCTGGGACTACAGGCATGCACCGTTATGCTTGGCTAATTTAAAAAATTTTTTTGTGGAGAAAAAAGTCTCACTATGTTGCCCAGTCTGGTCTTGAACTCTTGGACTCAAGCCATCTTCCCAAAGTGCTGGAATTATAGGTGTTAGCCATTGAGCCTATTATTGACTCTTTTTGTCTTTAGTCATTTTCACTGGGGGATCCCTGTCATCCACTGAACTGGCTGGCACCTATTGAGTCCTTAAGGTCTCAGTTTAGAAATCAATCTCTCAATACCAAATAGCATACTGGTGATGCGGACAGGCCTTAAACCTAGGTCTTCCACCTTGAAAGGTAGAAGTCTTCTGCCCCTATTAAATACTACCCGTATTTATATATTTACAGTGATGCCATTACTGTAGGAACATTAAAACTTCATCTCAATTATAGGCAAGAAGGTTTTTTTAAAATTAGCCTTCATGAAACATATTTTTGTGGCCTTTCTTCTAGTAATGTCTAATGTCAATCCTTCTCAACCTACTGAGACTATCTCTTATAAGACAATCTCTAATCATAAAAGTGCCAGGATTTTGTCCAGGTTTAGATTTCTCATGTGACAGAATATACTGAGGCTAACTGTAAAAGCTTTCTGTCTGCATGAAATGTTGACATATTATCAAAGCAGTACTGTTTTCTTTCTAGAAATTAGATGAATTATATTAAGGATACATATTATCCTTAATAGTGTTTTATTATGTTGACTTTTAAACCAACTCTTCTAATTTAATTTCATTTATATCAATTTCTATCTGAAAAAGTGATTGATCCCAAACAATTAAATTGAGATCAATTGTGGAATATCAGGTAAGTTGAAACATCCCTGGTGAGGACAAGGATCTGTGATCACAATGTCAGAAGCTTGGTGAAAAACTGCCTGACTTTGATTGTCTGCTTAAATTTTTGTTTCCTAAAGGCTCCACATTTCTGTACTGCTAAGCTTATCACAAAAGTGATTTTTATAAACGTGTCAGATTCTGAGGCATTAACTTTCTCTATGCTTCTTTCAATGATGAAAACACATTATTTCATAATTAGAATCAAGAAGTCATTTCTAACTTGATACTATTAATGAAACTCAAATTAAAAAAAAAATCAATGTAGTTATCCATAGCTCTATTTTCTGAGATTTCCTGGTTTCTGATGAGATAACCTAAACTTAGAAAGGCAATCTTTCCATCCATCTGACAATTCATCACAGGATGGGTGTTCATTTTATTACTGAATTATATACAAGTAAAATTAAAACACTACTTCTCTAATATATTTTACTAATTCTGTAATAAAAGCTAAACTGTTAGGAAGGTAAATATTTTTAAAGAGCCCAAATGACCTAGTAATAGAATATATGAAATATAAAACACACAACACATTATCAAGCATATAAAATAATCATGAAAAAGACTATGAGGCTACAGACCAAAATGTTAACAGAAGTTATCTCAGTGTGATTATGAGCAGTGTTGTTTTATTTTCCAAATGTTCTTCAATGAACATATATTATTATTATTTTTAGATAGAGTCTCACTCTGTCTCCAGGCTGGAGTACAATGGCATGATCTTGGCTCACTGCAGCCTCCGCCTCCCAGGTTCAAGTGATTCTCCTGCAACAGCCTCCCAAGTAGCTGGGACTACAGGCACCTGCCACCACACCCAGCTAATTTTTATATTTTTAGTAGAGACAGAGTTTCACCATGTTGGCCAGGAAGGTCTCGCTCTCTTGACCTTGTGATCAACCTACCACGGCCTCCCAGAGTTCTGGGATTACAGGCGTAAGCCACCACGCCAGGCCTGAACATATATTATTAATAAAAATAAATATTTCCAAAGAAAAAGTATTCACAATAATTTATAGTAAAAATAGGAAGTAGACCACAAAGTGGTATGCTATGATTATAACCTTGTAAAATCGTGTACACATATGGGCAAAAATAAAGGTAACAGAGAAAAGAAAAAACATTTGATTTGCAAGGTATTGGAATAGTAGATGGTTTTTTATCTGTTATTGTCAGAATGTTGTTTCAGGGCAAAGAAGGAGGCGTTACATAAAAGGAATAAGAACAACACTAAGCCAGTCCATCAGGAGAAGTGGCACGTGGGGCATCAACAGCAATGAACGGCATAGCCTCATAGTGCACATGATGGTATATGACCCAAGACAACTGTTTCACTGGTTGTGATTTACTTTATTTACCGTCTTTTATGGGGGCATGAGTAAAAGGACTTAGCAGGGGTGTGTAAGCTAGAAGTGTTGAAGAATAGGTTGCTGAAGCCATTTTTCTCTACTGTAAATCAGTGGATGTGTTAAGTAGGTAAACACTGAAATATAATATGGTCTAGAGATTTTATTTTATTTTTTTGGTGATGGTCTTACTTTGTCACCCAGGCTGGAGTGGAGTGGTGAGATCACGGTTCACTACAGCCTCACCCTCCAGGGCTCAAGAGATTCTCCTCCTCCAGCTTCCCAAGTAGCTGGGACTACAGATGCGTGCCACCACGCTCAGTTTTGTATTTTTTATAGAGTTGGGGTTTCACCACATTGCTCAGGCTGATCTCGAACTTCTGGGCTCAAGAAGTCTGCCTGCCTTGGCCTTCCAAAGTGCTGGGATTACAGCTGTGAGCCACTGTGCCTGGCCAGCTCTAGGGATTTTTTATTACCAAAGAGACTTTATAGGTGGATAAAACTTTAGCTGCATAAAATCCTTTGAGTATGAATTATGTGGGTTAGCTAGACAAGTTTCCTAATGTCTGGAGGCTTGTCTTTTATCTTTTTTGGGGAGACAGTCACACTTTGTTGCCCAGGGGAGGCTTGCCTTTTAAAGTTTTAAAAAACCAATTAAGAAGAAAATATTTCTAAAGTTTACCTTTTAGAAGGCGACAATTCATTTTATTTAACATTTCTTTTAATGCCCTAGGATAATCATTAAACATATTGATTATTATGTCATTAAGATTCTACTGAGGTGTGTGTATGACTCTATTCCTCTGTATTTTGAGATCCAAGATGACTAGACTTTTTGTTTAGTTTGCTTTTTTGCATTATTTTTTCTTTTTATATTTAAGGAACAGGTTCTTAGTGAGGGTTCACAGAGCTGCATTATGAGTAAAAACATAGGATTTTGAGTGCACAGACTTTGAAACATCAGATTTTGTCTTTCTTTGTGGTTCTCATCTGTTGTTCAGACAGATGCAGCTGCTAGACAGCTGAGATACAGTTAAGTGAGGGGTCACTAGATAGGAAAAGATGACTTGATCATTGTTTCCCAGGGTAATGCTACCATCTCATCTTTCACTGAATTACCTTTGGTCATCAGCTCCATTTTGACTGCTGTTCAAGACAATTCTCCAAAGATCTGAAGATACTAATTTCTTCTGGTCATTCACGAAATTGATATCCGGCAACTGCAGTTCACAAACTTTGCTTTCAGACAGACTAAATTCTCTAAATGCAACAAAAGCTTTCTGGAGTTCATCCCAGTATTCCAAGCTACAAGGAACCTATGTTAAAATAAAAGAAAATTAGAAGTTGCAGATAGAAACTGTGCTTTTATATTGGTTGAAATTCAAATTAAACCTTTATAAAAGTTATAATATTAAGACCTTTAGAGGAGAATAAGGTTATAAAAGACAGTAGTTAGAATTTCTTTTCATATTACTATAGATTCATCCTGTTTGTTTTTAAACACCAATTCAAAAATAATACATAAAAACAGCCAAAATTTTAAAAGTAATAATGGGAACAAATTCTACAAGGTGTTAAATGTATTATAAACCCACAGTAAGAAAAAGATAAGGCTGGTGTAGTAACATACAAATAGATTAAAAGAAAAGAATAAAGTAGCACAGAAAGGGCTAAGTACAGACAAGATTTTACTGTGTAATGAAGGTGCTGGCCAGGCATGGTGGCTCATGCTTGTAATCCCAGCACTTTGGGAAGCCAAGGCGGGTAGATCACCTGAGGTCAGGAGTTCAAGACCAGCCTGGCCAACATGGTAAAACCCCGTCTCCACTAAAAATAGAAAAATTAGCCAGGCGTGGTGGCACACACCTGTAATCCCAGCTACTTGGGAGGCTGAGGCAGGGGAACTGCTTAAACTCAGGAGGCAGAGGTTGCAGTGAGCCGAGGTCATGCCACTGACTACACTCCAGCCAGGGCAATAGAGCAAGATTTTGCCTCAAAAAAAAAAAAATAATGAAGGTGCCGTGTCAGATAAGTCGGAGAAAAATGGAAAATGACATTGCAAGAACTGACTAGTCACGTGGTAAAGCCAGAGTTGGTCCCTACATCATTCTTTAAAGCAAGCTCCAAAGGATAAAAATGCTGAAAGCCTAAGAGAAAAAACATGTTATTATTTAAAAAATATTATAATAGGGTAGCCTTTTGTATGTATGGCATGAAACCCATGATAAAATCAAATTTAAAGAGTAAAATAGGATAAGACAGGTAATATTCGATGACAGGTCAAGGAATATTCATTCTGATAGGAGAGCGCTCTTACAAATCAATGAGAAAATGACACATAATCACAGAGAAAATATTTTGTTTAAAAAAGGTAGATTTTACAAGTTCCTCAACTGTGCTAAATGTCTACTGCAAGCAGAGCATCCCCCGGGGGCTCTTCTGCATTACCCTTGTGAGACTTTGGAACGTGGAGAACCAATGAAAACATGATGCGCATGCTGCTTGCCATGCCACAAGCAATAGGCTTCTTTGCTTCTGACCAGGAATCTTGTGCCTTCTGCCAGCATCCATGAAACACTAACAAGAAAGCTTACTAGCTTGCACTGGCTAATACCCGAGAACCTGATAGCAATTAGATTACAGAAAAAACAAAAAAAAACTATAACCAGTCAGTAAACACAAAAAGTTACTCAACGTTACCAATACTCAAAGAGATTCAAATTAAAGCATAATATTTAATAACCCTTCAGTTTAAGAAGACTGACACGTCTAAGTACTGTACAACTATGAGAAAAAAACTTTTTTTTTTTTTTTTTTTTTTTTTTTTTTTTTTTTTTTTAAGACGGAGTTTCACTTTTTCATCCAGGCTTGAGTGAAGTGACATGATCCTGGCTCACTGCAACCTCCGCCCCTTGTGTTCAAGTGATTCTCCTGCCTCAGCCTCCTGAGTAGCTGGGATTACAGCCATGCACCATCACACTCAGCTATCTTTTTCTTTTTTTGAGACCAAGTCTTACTCTTGTCACCTGGGCTGGAGTGCAATGGCACGATCTCGGCTCACTGCAACCTCTGCCACCTAGGTTCAAGCGATTCTCCTGCCTCAGCCTCCCAAGTAGCTGGGATTATAGGTGCCTGCCACCACGCCCAGCTAGTTTTTGTATTTTTAGTAGAGACAGGGTTTTGCTATGTTTGCCAGGCTGTTCTTGACAAGAACTCCAGACCTTGTAACCTACCTGCGTTGGCCTCCCAAAATGCTGGGATTACAGGCATCAGGCACCTCGCCTGACCAATTTCTGTATTTTTAGTAGAGAAGGGGTTTCGTCATGTTGGCCAGGCTGGTTGGTCTTGAACGCCTGACCTCAGGTGATCCACCCGCCTCGGCCTCCCAAAGTGGATCACAAGCGTGAGCCACCACACCTGGCCAAAACTTTTTTTTTTCTGTAGGAAGTATGCTTCTAAGAATTTGTTTTACAGAGATTCCAAAGCAAGAGTATGTGTATGTACTTCAGTACTGTGTTGATAAGAAAAGTTGAATATCTGTCAATAGAGGATTGGTTAAATGTAACATGCAGATCTATAGAATGTATTTCTACACAACTGTTAAAATGAATAAAGAATATCTCTAGGCCAGGTGCGGTGGCTCATGCCACTAATCCTAACACTTTGGGAGGTCAAGGCGGGTAGATCACCTGAGGTCAGGAGTTGGAGACCAGCTTGACCATCAAGGCAAAACCCCGTCTCTACTAAAAATATAAAAATTAGCCAGGTGTGGTGGCAGGCACCTGTAGTTCCAGCTACTCAGAAGGCTGAGACAGGAGAATTGCTTAAATTCAGGAGGTGGAGGTTGCAGTGAGCCTAGGTCATGCCACAGCACTCCATCCTGGGTGATAAAGTGAGACTGTCTAAAAAAAAAAAAAAAAAAAAAAAGAAAATCTCTACATATTAACACAAAAGATATCTAGGAAATACTAAATTTAAAGTATTTTGTTTAGGATGAGAACATGTGGGTTGATCCTATTTGTTTTAAAAAATAAAAGAGTGGCTCAGATATTTCTTTTTTGGAAGCATTCCCTAATTACCATCCTCAGAACTGATCACTTCCTCTCTTGTGTCATCTCTATACCTAGTACACTCCTCTATCATAGGAATCAATATATTTTGTAATTACTTATTTATATGTTTGTCTACTTTATTAGACTCTGAGATCCTTGATGTCTACTTTATTAGACTCTGCGATCCTTGAGGGCAGAAGTGGCATATTATTTTAATATTATTTAATATTAATATTATTTAATATTATTTAATATTTATTATTTAATATTTTAAAATATTCCTAGTACTTAAAACAGTTTGTGGACATAATGGGACCTCAAAAAAGCTTCTTTAACAAATAGATTTCTTCTTAATTTTTCTCTCCTAAATAAATAATTCTCAATCTTTCAACAGGAATGAATGTTGAAATAAATGTTACCTCCACCTATAATTAAGTTTCCTTTCTTTAAACAGGGACTTGAGTATCCATATATAATGAGATGCTAGGAGGAAGAAGGGAGAGCAAAATGGATATGCAGAAGAGGCTAAATGTGATAAAAGAGAAGCACACGTTCTGGTTAGTGATAAGAGACATATCCATGGCATTACACTTTTAGCCACCATTTCTTGAAATTCTCTCTTTTCTTGCTTTGATGACATAATTTTCTCTAACTTCTTTTCTCTGGGTTATTGTTCCTATATTCTCTCTCACCCTGAAATACCTCTATACTCCCTACTTTCTTACTGTCTCATGTCTAAATCGTTCCTATCAATCAAGAACCAAATCAAATACCACCTTTCTCAGGCTTTTCACCTCCCCAGATAGAAAAATACTTTTTCCTTTTCTAAACACCAATAATTTTTTAAAAATAGGAACCTCTTTTAGGGCTATTATCACTGTAAACTTCATGTTATAGTTATTTCTGTATATGACATCTTCTCTGGTGGACACATTCCTTGAGGGAATGATTTCCATTTGGCTAAGCTTTGAATTTTCACAGCACTTGGGATAGTGTATATAACAAATGTTCAAAAAGAGTTGCTGAATAAATGAATGAATAATTCATGAATGAATGAATGAATGTACACATACTGGGTGATTCAACCCATCTCTGTCACATTACAGATTCTCTACAAAGAAGTACAGAAGTTGAAAGCATGAACTTTGAATCAGATCCACTGGGATTCAAATTGTAGCTCCATTAATTTTTTCTTGGGCAAATTAATTTTTCTTTATTTTTTGAGACAAGGTCTCGTTCTGTTGTCCAAGCTGCGGTGAAGTGGCATGATCACAGCTCACCGAAGCCTTGATCTCCCTGGCCCAAACGATCTTCCCACTTCAGTCTCCTGTGTAGCTGGGACCAGAGGCACGTGCCACCATGCTTGACTAATTTTTGTATTTTTTATAAAGAGAGTCTCCCTATGTTGCCCAAGCTAGTTTCAAACTCCTGGGCTCGAGCAATCCTCCTACCTTGGCCTCCCAACGTGCTAGGATTGTAGGCATGACCCACTGTGCCAGGCCCAAATTAATTTTTCTAATACAAGTTCCCATATCTGTAAAAAGGGGAGAAGAATATAGCTACCCTAATGAATTGTTGTAAAGATTAAATAAGACAAAGCATTTTAGTCAATACCACATAGTAAGAACTTAAGAAATGTTAGTCATTTTTTACCCCTCTCATGCTCAAAGAACACTTTGGAAGCTTATATGTTGTTACCAGAATCAGGTAAATTTTAAGAGTTCTGCTTATTAGGTTTCTTAATAATGGGTTGGACTTCTGAGAAGAAAACAATAAACTATGAACCTGGATGCTCAGGAACACTGTACCCACAGTTCAATATGATTTTCTGCTACATACCTGTTAAAGTGTGGCCCTCCATATATGCTATGACTTCAGAGATAAAGGAATATATCATTGCTTAACTACTCTCTGGACTGCCAGTGAGTCAGCCCTGTGGTTTAAGACACTCATAACCAGGGAAGAAACAGATATGGGAAATGGGATATAAATCCCTAGAGAGACATATAAAAATCTCAGTGGAGGCCAGTAGCAGTGGCTAATGCCTATAATCCCAGCACTTTGAGAACTGGAAACAGGAGGATTGCTTGAGCCCAGGATTTTGAAATCAGCCTGGGCAACTTGATAAGACCCTGTCTCTACAGGAAAATAAAAAAGTTGGACATGATGGCATGTTATTGTGGCCCCAGTTATTTGGGAGGTTGAGGTGGGAGGATCACTTGAACCCAGGAGGTCAAGGCTGCAGTGAGCTGTGATTACATCAC